ATTTCCCGTTGTTTGGCCCGTCAGATTGGTGTTTCATCTGGACGTCGATGGTCAGCTGAGACATCGACGAAATTGTTGCCACAGCGATTCTATGTGATTCTGAAGCTTGGTGACTCTCGAATCTAGATGTTGCCTTTTTCCAGTTGTCAAAACCGGAAGTGAGGAAAGCTGGCTCTTTGTTTTTTGACATTTTTAAGTGGCCCCGTTTCTCTGCTTGCGAGCAATAGAAGCAAACTATCCGTTTTAGTGATGGCACATAGTGAAGCCATGGATAGATTATGAACCATTTGGCCTGGAAGTAGATTTTTTGGGTTGCGGTTTCTTTTGCCGGGATTATTCCGGGTCCGGGAGGATGATTGGGGCTCATCCAATGGTCATCGTCTCCATTATTTTCGACTGCCTCTTCACTGACGCTGGGTTCAGGGCTCTTGCTTGTTTCTTCTCTATACCCTTCATCCCTTTCAGCTGGAATGCTGCCGACATCCAGTTCTCCAGCTTCTCCTTCACGACTTTAAAAAAAAGATGTGATTTTCGAGGTTTTCAAACGCTTTATCTGAGACATTACAAAATTGTAAGCTCAGCAGAAATAAAATGGCGACTGCTCACCTTACTCAACTTAACTAGTTACGCCACCTATCGGCAAGCACATAATTCAAACAAACATACTGTGGCCTTTCACGTAACAGGAGTCTGGGGCTTGCCACGCGAAAAATTGAAATTGTAGGTGCAATATTTGTGAATTCTAGGGTTATTTTTTTCTTTTGCTCCCAGAGGTTTAATAACACGCAACCCCCCTCCAACTACAACACTGGAATCATCTCTCTCTGAAATTTTGATAAAACGTATATTTTACTAAAAACGCTAAAACTGTGCAAGATAGTATGAGAAAAACAACCAGATTTGAACCAAAACGTGCATATTTTCACCCATTGTCAGGAGTCGAAATTAGCGGTATCCCGATATCCGCGGGATAATAGATTCTGGTTTTGAATACCAGATTTCATTGCTTGGTATCCCGCCGGGATAGTAAAAAAAAATCGTCAAAATCGGGATAGTCGTTGTTGAGTTGTCAACTTTATACGGCAGCGCATCTGAGCGAGTGCGCGCGATCTGAGTTATACACTAGCGTTATACAGCAGTGATTACAGAGTTAGATAGCAGCGTTATACATCAGAGTTATACAGCAGGCATAGCATATTTGCAAGTGCAAGCGCAAGCGTAGCGTAGGCGTAAGCGTGGCCGATGTGTATAATAATTTAATGTTATGTGTATACATTGTATCAATAAAACCAGACAATGCGTCTAGACAATACGTCTGCAGTGTACTGTGGAGGCATATATGTAAAATGAACGCGAGCGATGAGAATTTTGAAGGCAAACACGGAACATTTGGCAATTTTATGACATGGGGTAAATTTCCTTATTTTCATCTTTCCTCATTTTCCTCCTGAAAGCAGGGGGGGGGGATGATTGTACACGCCATTCCCCCCACGTCAATGAGTGGGGGGATGCATCCCCCCCCATCCCCCCCCCGCTATCTACGCCCCTGAGTGCAATACTTTACATGCAATATATAGAACACGTTGCGCATTACTAGTTAACGCAAACTCAAGCTATTTAATTCAGTATAACCCGCATTTTCTCCATGAAACTATTCGCATTATTATTAGATCAATGCCTGTGTGTGCGCACCAGAATGTAACCCTATCCTCAGCAGCTCTCGGAGTGCGTTTAATGTGTTTAATGGAAGCATGTAATTGCGTAAAATACAATTATATAAATAATGTTAGAGAGATGTTAGAAGTTTCTCATTAGCTCCTCTTCGAATAGGCGAATGTGTGTGTGTGCGCGCGCGCGCGCGCGCGCGTGTGTGTGTGTGTGTGTGTGTGTGTGTGTGTGTGTGTGTGTGTGTGTGTGTGTGTGTGTGTGTGTGTGTGTGTAGTGTGTGTGTGT